CCCTTCCCCATCCCCTTTCCCATCCCCTCCCCCATCTCCCCCCCTTATCCTCTCCCAATTCCCATCCTCCCTCCTCTCTTCGCCCTTTCCCTGTACCATCAGGTAGCGGGAATCACGACGTCGCTGCCGCTCCGCACGCACTCCACGTTAGCGCTGCAGCTGTTGGTCTTCCTTCTCATCGAAGACTATGGCAACTACTGGATCCACCGCCTCTTCCAACACCTCCCATGCCCTTCCGCTCATAGAACTTTTCCCCTCCCCCACCCCCTCGCCCATCCCCTCCCTCTTTCCATCCGTTATCCGCTCCCCCATCCCATCCCCCCCTCCCTTTTCTCCCCCTCCGTATGCGACCAGTTAGCAGGCATCACGGCGTCTTTGCCGCTCCCCACGCTCTCCACGCTGGCTTTACAGCTGTTCGTCTTCCTTCTCGTAGAAGACTACGGCAACTACTGGATCCACCGCCTCTTCCACCACCCGCTCCTCTACAAGCACATTCACTACAAGCACCACGAGTACACGTCACCCATGAGCGCCGCTGCCACGTACGCGCACTGGATCGAGGTGCTGCTGCTGGGCGTGCCCACGCTCGTGGGGCCTGCGATCGTGCAGTGCCACGTGGTCACGCTGTGGGTGTGGATCCTGCTGCGACAGCTGGAGGCCATCGAGACGCACTCAGGGTGAGCAGGCGAGGGTAGGGGGGGGTGGCATGTGGAGACATCGCCTTGTTGCGTCACGCTGTGGGCGTGGATGCTGCTGCGGCAGCTGGAGGCGATTGAGACGCACTCAGGGTGAGCAGGAGGAAGAGGGAGTGGGGGGATGGTGGGAGAGTGGGGTGGAGTGGGGAAGGGCTTTGGGGGGGGATGGAGAGGGGGGAGGGCTGCTTGTGGAGGCACAGATTGGGAATGAGGTTGGCATGGGTGAGATTGCCTTGCTGCTCTATTCACGTGGTCACGCTGTGGGTGTGGATCCTGCTGCGGCAGCTTGAGGCAATCGGGACGCACTCAGGGCAGAGGAAGTGGGTGGGTAGAAGGGGGGAGAGAAGAGGGGGGATAGAGGGGGATGGAAGGGGGGAGGGGTTGGGGGATAGGGGGGAAAGGGGTGGAAAAGGGGAATCTGGGGGAAAAGGGAAGGGCTCCTTGTGGGCATGAGATGGGGGGCACGGGTGGCATGTGAGGAGTTTGCCTTGGTGTTTCGTCCACGTGGTCACTCTGATGGCGTGGATCCTGCTGCGGCAGCAGGAGGCCGTTGGGACCTACTCAGGGTGAGCGCTGCGCCTGCGCCTGTTTTCTAGGCGCCTCAAAAACAGACGAGGGGAGGGGCTGGGCTGGTTGCGGACATGTGTGGGGGGAGGCTGCCTTGGTGCACTGCTCTGGGTGTGGATCCTGCTGCGACAGCTGGAGGTGATTGAGACGCACTCAGGGTGAGCAGTCAGCGGGAGAGGGAGTGGGTGGGTAGCATGTGGGGATAGGCGTAGCATGTGGGGAGATTGCTTTAGTGCGCTATTCACGTGATGATTTGGTGAGTGTGGGTGCTGCTGCGATAGCTGGGAGAGACACACAGGCTAGAAATAGGCATGGCATGTGGGGAGACTTCCCCTGGTCGCCGACTCCCCTGATCCCGTTCGACGGGTTCCACGACGACCACCATGAGGATTGGCTTTGAGATTTTTCAAGATTCGTTCCTTCTCTCCTTGCTTTCCTGTATCATACAACCAGGTACGACTTCCCCTGGTCGCCAACGCGCCTGATCCCGTTCTACGGGGGCCCTCGCTTCCACGACTACCACCACGAGGTGGGGGGAGAGAGCCACTGCAACTTCGCCTCCATCTTCACCATCTGTGACTGGCTTTACGGCACTGATAAGGTGAGATGCACGCTTGAAGCGCTCATGAGCAGGAACCATTACCAATTGCAGTTGGAACTGAGTGTTTTCAGTTGGAGGTGCATGGTAATCCGATTGGGCATGCACACACGAGCACCACATGCAAGCACGACATGCAAGCACGACATGCAAGCACCACATGCAAGCACCACATGCAAGCACCACATGCAAGCACCACATGCAAACACCACATGCAAACACCACGTGCAAGCACCACATGCTTCTGCAGCTCAAAGCAAACCAGCAGCTGCTGTAGCAAACACTGCAAGATGCCCTGCTTCAAAGAAACATGCATGCAAGTAGCTGCCAACCCCAGCCTTTGAGTCGCATAAAAGTGGACTACTTACAGTTGTAGAGGTGAAAAGCGTTGATTGGAAGGAACATGCAAGTAGCTGGTCTGGATAATCTCTCGGGCTATCACCCACAACCTTTGAGTCGTCTCAAAAGTCCTCTACTTACAGCTTTAGAGGCTGAGAACGTTGCTTGAAAGGAATATGTCCAGGCTCTGAAGCAAGCAACGGTGCTTCTGGGCCTGTCACCTCCAGTCGTCAAGAACGGTGCTTTGAGCAAGCTCTGGGCCTGTCACGCCCTATGCGACTGGCAGCTGCCTATTTCACAGCCCATCCATTGAGCTGTTAACTCTCACCCGCTGAGAAGACTATGCGCCATCTCCTCTCCTCTCTGCACAACGCCATGCATACAGGTCTGCTCATGCAGGCTGGGTACTGAGCACCCCCTGAGAAGCAGCTAACCAGCTCCACTTCCTTCTCTCCTCCCCCGTCTCCCACCGTGCCCCCTTGTTTTAGGCACCTCAAAAATTCCAAATAAAATCATCTGAGGCGCCTAAAAAAATCGTGTGCTCATGCAGGCTGGGTGTTGAGCACCCTGCGCAGCTAACCAACTCACTTTCTTCTCTCCTCTCTCCACTCCCCCGTGCGCCCCCCACGCCCTGCATACCGTGCACGCACGCCTGTAACGCAAAGCTGGCTGCTGAGTAACCAGTGTACCGCCGCCAACCAGTGGGCGAGTTTTGAGACGCCGTATAGCCCACTCTCCTCCTCCCGTGCCCCGTTCACTCACCCCCTGTGTGCTGTGCCCTGCAGCGCTGCTATGCTCATGCTGAGAAAAGATGAAGGTGAGCCGTTCACTGGGAGAACTCTGAGGCGTCTCAGTATTCACTCCTCTCTCCGTTCTCCACCTTCCTGTCTCGTCTCTCCTCTCTCCTGTCTCCTCTCCCCGTGGCAGTTGAGGAGACGATGAATGCGAGCCGTTCACTGGTGGAGTTCTGAGGCATCTCAAAGCTCGCTCTTCTCTCCCCGTCCCCTCCCTTACTCCCTGCGTGCCATGCCAACAGGGCTATTATGCGAAGGTGGTAGCCGAGGAGAAGATGAAGGTGAGCCTTTTACTGGGGGAGTCCTGACGCATTTCAAAACTCACTCTCTTCTCTCCCCTTGCCTCAACCCCTGTGTGCCATGCCTACCAGCAGGGCTACTACGGTAAGGTAGCAGCCGAGGACAAGTCGAAGGTGATAATTTCACTCGGGGAGTTTTGAGGCGACTTAAGGCCTACTCTCCCCTCTCCTCTCTCCTCTCCCACACGCCCCTCTCACCTTCTGTGCGCCATGCCTGCAGGGCAACTATGCCAAGGTGGCTACGGAGGAGAGCATGGTGAGCCGCTCACTGGGGGAGCTCTGAGGCATCTCGAAACTCACTGCCCTCTCTCCATCCTCTTCTCTCCTCTCTCCTGTACCCCGTGCACCCCCACCCACCCCCTGTGTGCCATGCCTACAGGGCTACTATGCCAAGGTAGCAGCCGAGGACAAAGTGAAGGCAAGAATTTCACTGGTGGATTACTGAGGCGTTTCAAAACTCACTCTCCTTGCTCCTCTCGCCTCTCCCCTATATCCTGCTCACCCCTGTGTGCCATGCCTGCAGGGCTACTATGCCAAGGTGGCAGCCGAGGACAAGATGAAGGTGAGCCGTTCTGGGAGGGGAAGCGGGGGGGGGGGTGGGGGGGGCTTTACTTGTTCCAGGGGTCAGGGAAGGCTGGGTTGAGTGAGTAACTGCGGAGAGGCTTCATCCAAAAAAGGCTTGCATGTTTCAGCATCCCAACCCTAGGAACGTGGATTGGTTGCTATGCCACTATGGTATGGTGTGATGATTGAATGGTTGGTCATCTGATACGGAAATTTTATCCATCTGTGGGCTAGCAGCGTATCTTGCCTTCTATGGTACACCCCTTCGTCCTTTGTTTCTCGGGTTCGTTGTTTTGTTGCTCACTAGTGCTGGCTGATCTGATTTCCTGTCTCCGTAATGCTTGCAGAAACTACGGGCAGAGAAGACAGGTCTGAAAAATGAGTAGGGTTAAATTCTCGTCCCTTCAAAGTGAGACACTTGGAAGGGGAGACAAGTAGCAGTTTCCCTGCGTAGCGTTTTGTGGTACACTAGCTGTGTAATCAAGTGGAGCTCTTCCTCAAGCAGGACAACAGTACATAATTTTATTTATCATGTCGTAGGTACATGAAGGATTCCAAGATCTGCAACAGGATGGATCAGCTTCACATCTATTTCGTGACCTTCTTTACGGGTTGTTAGTGTATATCTGATTTCACAAGCAGGAAATCTGAATCTCAGAAAAGAAGAGAACTTTTACTGTGGACTAGAAACCCGCAACAAAATGGGCTGGTTCACACCACACCCCTTCGAGCAATCGAAAATCGAATGTGCTCTTAGCGAACATAAACATCTGCTTTTCCGCCAGCGCTCGCTCCTCTGCCTCTGCTAGAGGAAGAAGCTCACAGAAGGCTTTCTGCTCTGCACCACCAGATCGCTCTCAGATCAATTTGAAGCCATGGATGCGCCAGCGTTCCTAAAAACGTTTCTCACGGACGAGCCAGTTTTCTACTGTCCGTCGTCTCCCCGTAGCCGGTTCGATGCCGTTTCGATTCGACACCACTGCTGGCTAACCACCCCCGATTCTGAATCGCCACTGCGTCACAGACCCACGGAGGAAGAAAAAAAAAGAACACGCAAGTATACGCACACACGCGCGACCTTGCGCGCACGGCGATCCCGTTTCGTATCGCCGAAAAATGGTATCCAATGGGATTAAAAACAGCTTTAGACAGCGTCGTCCCCTCTCTCCACCTTCACTGCCATCTCCGAGTCGCCTTCACCCGCATCTGGCGCTGGCGATTTGAGGTCCGCTCGGCACACGGGGCACGTGGTCTTGGAGGCGAGCCAATGATCAATGCACGCCACGTGGAACCGATGCTCGCACGGCAGCACGGACCGAACCAGCTCGCCCTCGTTGAAATCACTCAGGCACACTGTACACTCCGTTCTCGTCAACAATATCCCCCGTTTCAAGGATTCTGTCTTTTGAGAGTCTGATTTTCGTAATAGGTTAGCAGCGTCAATGGTAATAGCATTCTCCCTTGTAGTCGCGGCTCCAGCTGCGATGATTTCCTTCTCGCCATTTTCCAATCTTGTCCCCGTATCGGTAATATCATCCGCAACGGGGGGGTAAACGCAGTAACGCCATGTGGGGAATGTTGCGATTCGCTCCGCGTCCAGCCCGCCGCCAGACGCTTGCGGACCACCTGCGCCGGCGACCGCCGCTGAATCCGCGTCGTTCGTCACGCGGCGAGCGCGGCGCAGGTGTATCCGCACGTAGTACCGAGCTGCAAACGTGAGGAGCCCGATAATTACGACGAGGAACAGAACGCCAGCGATCGCGAGGCAGAAGGGAAGCGATTTTACCCCTGCCGCGCCATTCCCTCCCCCCGCCGTTATCCCCTGCGCCGCCGCCGCTGCCGCTTGCGCGCCTGGCAGCAGCGCCTCGTGGTTTTCCGACAGCTCGTCTTCCCCATCTTCGCGTAGAAACGGCGAGGGCGGGGGAGCTCCGAGCAGGGAGAGTACTAAGGGGAACGCGATGGAACTTCCCGCGAGCGACTCGGGGAGGCTTGAAGCCATTTTCCACAGGGGGTGTCGGGTAGAGTGGGGGGGGGGAGCTGTCCGATTACGGCGAACGGGAGAGAATGGTGAAAGCTTGGTACCTCAATAGGAGCCCGGAGGCATGATCAAATGATGGGTTGAAAAAAACGGACCATGCTCGCTATGTTTGGACCGCTGCAGGCGGCCAGTGAGAAGACGGCTGACTGAAAATATCTCATGGCGCATCCGAGGAGGATCCGTCTGCAGTTGAATGCTCGTAGCTTGTGTCATGCTCTTTCGAGAGTGAGGGCGTCACGAACAACAAATGTTCTGGAATGGGGGTCCGTGTTAGTAGTTACGCTAGGAACCACACGTTGCGTCTCGTGACGACGGCAACACAGAACAGAACAGCCCTCCACCTTTCGTTGCACTCGTGCGGGCTGTACACATGTTGCTCAACTGCTGCGCGCGAATTTGCCCCGCACGCGCCAGAAAGTCTGCACCCGTGTATTTTGCGCCAGCCAGCTGCACCCACGATACAAGCACCCCAAGCAAGTTGCATTGGCTATGAACCAATAGTAACCACAGAAACCAAAGAATATCTGAAGAGACTGAAGCCAAAAAGTCAACGAGGAGTTACAATTTTTTTATAAGCCCTTTTTTGCTAGGTGCGACGTTGACGAAATTTGCGAGAAGACTAGAATCACTTAAAAGCCCCCTTCACAAGGCAACCTTGGGTTAGTCAAACGAGCATCATGTGTACGAACTTCAGCCAATGGCGTTCCATGTCGAAATCGAGCGGACCTATCAACAAAATCCGTCGTTTCGGGCTTGAATGACAAGCATCGTTGGATCTTCCTAGGAAGTGGCATTAGGGCGTGTGTCCTTCGGCAATATTTGTAAAGTTTGCTTTTTAGACTCGAGTTTTTACAGTTTGAACTAGGTTCGAACTGTAGTCGAATATTACAACTCTCGATAGCCGAGCCGCCCTGCAAATTTCCAGTCAAGCAAATGTGACATCGAGAGTTCGATTATCTAACTCGAATTTCTACAGCATTGCTCGCGTCGCGTACCCGTCTCGTATGTTACCCTGTCTGGGTTCTTGACAGTGCGCCACGTCGTCACTGGGCGACACGGAACAGAGCGGCCTACAAATAGCGCACGATGACCTTCGTCAGTGTCGCCGATTTCGCCGCAGCTATGAACGTGGTCAGAAGGACACACGTTCACAAATTCGTGCGGGCCCACGTTCGGCCATACAGTCGACCGGTGTTCGTATTCCACATTCGGTTCCACCTTCCGCCGCTGTTTTCACGAATATCGCAAACCATCCTGCTGAAACTAGCGAAACTGGTAACCACCCAAAACTCGAACTCGAATTTGAACCTGGCCCACCAAGGACACACGCCCTTACCCGCTCCAACTGTCGCCGCTCAAACCGTCACACCAAGCAGCCATTCCAACTTCGGGCAGAGCTGAGCTCATGTGCTGCAGCTGACGACAATGGATGACGATGGACAAGGGCGGGTCATTCTCATGCCATTCTTGCTTGATACCCATCCCGACCAATCTAAACAAAAAATTGAACCGTTGTAAATCGTGACAAATCGGACTAGGCCGCATCTAAACGAACGAGTGATCCACCCTTTAGTTGGCAGTCAAGTGTACAGTACATTACAGAACAGATTCATTCACCGCCGCTTCTCAAGGACCTTGGAGGGACTGATGACAGTGCGAGAAGAGTGGTTGAGGAGGTCCCACCACACAACCTATAGCACCGAAACTGCGATAATTCCACACCCCGTACGCTTCCCTAGCCAGACACCCTAAATAGTTTTTGGTTCGAAGACACGGGCACCCTGAAAATATGGGTCTATAATTAAATTACCGGAACGTCCAGCCTCACGAAACTTACGCTTTACAGTCAGATTGAGAGGGGAAATCTCCACATCATGCTTGTACTTCGGGAAATCTCGCCACGGGATTGCATGAGTGTAACCTATATAATTCAAATAATGTTGTGAACCACTCTCAAAATCAGACTAAATGAGGGTGTTTACCCCCGGGCGTGAAGATAAGGGGTGTGGAATTATCGCAGTTTCGGTGTAATGAGTGCGTGGATTTTAGAGCGGAACTGTTACGGGTGCAATGAATCTAAGATTTGCGGACCGTAAAACGAGTACAAAGTATGAGGGAAGGCATACCGCAAGAGAATACTTCTACGAAAATATGCAAACGGTTATGCGGTGCGTGCGAGCTAGCTAGTGCGATGCTGGCATCCAGGTTCGGGCTAGTCCCAAAGCGTAGGCCGACTCGGCCAGGCCAGCGATGCATGGTTTGGGAAATGCAACGCGCGAAGGTTGGCGAATCCCCGTTAGCAGTAACGGGCGAACAACGACTGCTTCTGTACGCGATGTTGAAGCACGTAGTAAGGAATGTCGAAAAAATCCTTACACTACCACCCCCCCCCCCCCCCCAACCCCTCAAGAAGCCTCTCGGCTACGCGATTACGTGTATGTCGCGGAAACCCCGTCTTCGTAGGTACACTTGTAGGGTAGGGTGGTTTTCAATGTTGGTCAGGGGCACTAAGCTGTCCTCCGTCGAGGTGCGATCTTTCAAGCGAACGAGGAATTCAATCCTTCGAATTCACGTGGGGTGGCGAATCCAATGGCTCATATCTTTTTTTCGGGGTCGACGATCGGCTCCGATGCAGGACGCGACTGTCAGAATGTTATAATTGTCTAGCCTGCAGTGGGGTACTCCATAGCGAGTACAACCCAATTAGGGTTTCCTATATGTATGCCAACTGCTGCTAGTGCATCCTCTCCTCTTCTTCATTCCTCATTCTTCACAGCGACATCGATGGCGGGCGATGGCGTAACAGTTGACTCGTGGTGGCGATGTATGGGCGAATTAGGCTGACGTGGAACGATGGGCTGATGTACCAGTCTGTCGATAGCAGGGAGTGGGCGGTAACTGGGGTGATCATCTGGCTGATTTGGAAAGGTCCAAAGTAGCGCGGTCGAAGTTTCGGTACGACGGGCAGGCGTAAATTCTGCGCGTCGAGCATTACTTAGTCTCACGACTGGTACGTCACAGGGTGGTGGCGACGGTCAGCGTTCCTTTTAGCGATGACGTTGGCTTTCTTAATTGCCTCTACTGCGCGTATTCGGGGAGCTAGCAGGATCTCGACGAACTTTTGTGCGCGTGGTATTGGGTTGTCCGGGCTCGGCGTCATAGGCAGAGTTATGCCCGTAGTTCAAGTGAAGCGTCGTCGCTGGCGTGGCGTTGTTGTAGGCGAACTCGATCAGCGGCAACTGCTGCTCCCAGGTTCTCGGGTCGTCGCACGTGGCACAAATCAGCTGATCCATGGTTTGGTTCGTCCGCTCCTTCTGGCCGTCAGTCTCGGAGTGGTACGACGAGCTGAACTGTAGCCGGGTCCCGAACTGCTCCAAGAGGTTCTTCCAGAAGTTGCTTGTAAACTTCTTGTCGCGGCCGCTGATTATCGCGGCTGGTATCCCGTGTAGTCAAACGACGGTCGCGATGAACAGGCGAGTGGTTTCTTCGGCTGAGATCGAATTCCTTCACGCAGCGAAGTGAACCATTTTCGTCAGCCGGTCCAATAGTAATACTCGCCTTTTTCTTCCGCGAGCTTTTCATCACCTGACACATGGGGCACGATCCCACGTAAAGTTGTACGTGTCAAAATCAACAAGGGTGATTGCACTAGGCAAGAGTTGGGTAGAAGTAGGAAACCCTAAACTTACTGTACCCCATAGCAACTACCCCACTACAGCCTAAACAAACTGTAGCAGATATAACATTTGACACACCCCCATAGGCAAAGTGGGGGAGACCAAGGGGTCACAAGACCAGTCAAGAAAGGCAAAGCAAGCTCAGGGTGGATCACAACGTCACCACACACTCTGAGCACAAGCAAAGGGCCACAAGGCCAGTTTACATGTAGAGGCACATATGCAACACAAACAGCATAGTGATCTCTACCTAGCAAAGCAAGCATGCAGGTATATATATAGATCACAGTACAAGCAAAGCCTACAGCAAGTGAGGAAAGGTGGGCACAAGCCCTAGCATAGTGCAGAAACGCTGATGATCACCAGACTGAAGTGCCTTGGTGAATATATCAGCAGTGTTGGCCCGAGTGGCCACGTAACTCAGACGAAGCTGACCACGCTGCTGCAACTCTCGAGCCAGGAAGTAACGCAGAGCAATGTGCTTCGTTCTGTGCTCCAGTCTGTGCTTCTCACACAAGGCAATGGTAGCCTTGTTGTCGACGTACAGCACTGGAGGAGAACGAGGCCGCTCTCCCAAGTCAGTCAGCAGGTAGGTGAGCCAGCGTAACTCCTGTGCAGCCATGGCTGTGGCGTAGATCTCAGCCTCACAACTGGAGCTGAGAACTGAAGACGAGCGTGTAGAACGCCAAGAAACTGAACCAGAGCCAAGGCTGAAGGTGTAACCCTGTGACGACCGCTGAGTAGCCTGGTCGTCAACCCAAGAAGCGTCTGAGTGCCCAGTGAGAACAACTGAGCTCCTCCCTCCAAGCACGAGCCCCATGCCTGATGTACTGCACAAGTAGCGCAGTACCCTCTTAGCAGCATCCATGTGCACCTTTTGGTGCCGACCAGGAGCCACGTAGCGAGCCAGAAGGCCAAGAGGGTACGCTAGGTCAGGACGAGTGCAAGTCATCAGGTACATGAGGCAGCCAACTAGCTCTGGGTAAGGACCACTCGGCTCTACGGACTCGTCCGAAGGTGGAGGTGAGAGCGAGTGACCTGTAGCCAAAGGAGTGGCCTGTGCCGAGGACCAGGTGAAGCCGAAACGCTGAAGGACCTGCTGCACCATGTGTGACTGAGTGAGTGTGATGGTGCGGCGTGCTCTGTCCCGGGTGATCTGCAAGCCAAGGTAGCTGCGCAGTTCACCCATGTCTGTGCACGTGTGTCTCTTCTGCAGCTCCGACTTCACCAGGGCGAGAGCCTCAGTGTCAGCAGTGGCAAAGACCAAGTCGTCGATGTACACGA